AAGTCCCTCAAACCTCTCTGAAAGCTGCCCTTTTTTGGCCTTGAATCATGATAACTGTACATACCTTGGTACCTCTGTGCTGGACTTATCGTAGGATTCGAATTCAACAGCTCTGACCATTGCATCCTGCATAGTAGAAGGGTGTGCTTGCTTCACTTGTATCTTCAGTTGTAGACTGTTCAAGGTGTCTACAAACTGATCCCTCAGCAACAACTTGAGGACATCGGGTGGTGCAGTTGGGTAGGCCTTGTGTGCCATGCTTTCCAAGTCTTGTGCCAGCTCTTGCAGGCTTTCCCCTTTAGCACGGACTCTCGTCCTAAACCTAGCCCTGTAGACTTCTGACTGATTTTGGGTTCCGTACCTGAGTTCTAGAGCCGCTACCAGTGCTCTATAATTGTGCCTGTCGTCTGCTGACAACTGTCCAAGTATTTCCAGTGGTTGTCCCTTCAAGCTCGTTGCCAGATATACTGCTTTCTGCTCCTCTGTCCATCCATTCATTTCTGCTAGGAGCTCAAATTGTGCTCTATGTGCTTCCCACGGTGCCTTCTCATTGAATTACTGTGGCTTCCTTCGTACTAGATCACCCCTATTGCTGACACTCATGTCTGGGATATGACTTCTGCTAGGAACTGAAGATGTCTGCATTAGGGTTTAGCTGCAGGGTCTGGAAGGGCTTCCTGTTGTCTGGGGCTGATTAGGTCCATGGCTAATATATCCTCCTTGTGTAAAAGACAGTAAATCATCCTTTAATGTATTTAATTCACTTTGAAATTTACTAATCTTTTCCATTTGGGTGTGCTGGTTTTCTCTCAATTGTTGAAGTCTTTCTTCCTGTTTCTTTTCTTGTTCCAGTTGCCACTGGTGCTAGTTTTCCTGCCACTGCTGTAGTCTCTCTTCTTTTTTATTTTCTCTCTCCTCCAACCACTGCTGCTGTCTCTCTTCTTGTTTCTTTTCTTTTTCCTCCAACAACTGCTTTAGTCTCCTTGTTTATTTTCTCGTTCTTCTTGTTTCTTTTGCTGTTCTTGTATTGCTGTCATCAAATCTGCTAAGCTGCAGTTTGATTTGCCACTTCTCGTTTGCATCTTTTTTTTATTTTCTATCCCACTCCTGACACCAATTTCTTATGTCTCTGGTAGTTTAATTACCCATAAAAATTATTTCCAAAGAACTTCAGCGATACAAGTTCTTTCTAAATAAAGCTAGTTTATACTTTCTCAATACAACTTTGCAATACACTTAATTTCTACAGTCACTTTAACTTAAACACACACTATAATTCACAATGATTCATGCCCTTTACTTAGGATTTGACTCGATTATCTGTTTCTACATCTCCCTATCTGCAATTATCCTCCACTTTATTTGCCAGGCTTATATACTAAATATAGAGGGCACCTAGAAAAGACTAGAGTTGTCAGGAAAAGTCATGATCCTTGTAGAAACTCATGATGTTACCAGCATTACGTGACTTCCGCTGTCATAACAGTAACATTTGCACTGGTCCTTCCACCTTTTCAGTGTGGGATTCTATCTATTTGTGAGAGGAGGTGCTCAATTCTGTGACACTTACGACCTCACTGGGCAAAGAAGATACCTGGTACAGATGTGTTGTGGTCTCCCACAAATGTGTTCTTATTTCAACAGAGGTAATACTCCATGGACATTCTTTGGATTCTTTCTGAAGAGTGCTCTTCTAGGTAACATTTGCACTGGTCCCTCCACCTTTTCAGTGTGGGATTCTAGCTATTTGTGAGAGGAGGTATGATACCATATCAGAAGTTAATATATTTCCCATAAGTACTTACTTTCTCTCACACTACATGCCCTTCCCACTTTCAGTTCTTCTTTTATGCCTAATCTTGAAGTGAAGGTTAAGCTGAATATTATAGCTTGAGTAACCTCAAGGGAGAATGTGACGCACTCCTATTGCTGGAGGGTTGCTGCATGCAAAAATGCAGTAGAACCACATTAAATGTGGGGTAGGTGGGAGTTTCTAGACTAATGGTGAGCAAAAACATTTGTACATATAGAGGGCAGCACTGAACAAGCAAAGCTATTTGTTAGAAGTGGTAAGTACCTATCAGAAATATATTTTCAGTGTAGGAAAATATTAACTTTTATTGAAACCCACAATCTTAGTCTAAGTATTTGATTTCGCTAACATTTCTGGGTCCTAATTTATAAAAGTTACTGTAACTGTTTTGTAACATGTTAATAAGGCTATGTATAGTTTTCTGGATGAAAAACAACTGAGATGAGCAACTAGAATAATTCTTCATTTAAATTGTGAGTGATGGCAAGTCATTTGATTCAAACATTAAATGCTTTTAAAGGCTATACCAAACTGCCTATACTAAATATAAATGGGAGCAGTTACACTTTAGGATGACACTGAGTTTGATCATATTAGTTTAATCTACAACTAACACATTCAGCTATGTAATTTTTCTGAATCAATCATTGAAAATAAAATATACATTCAAACTGTTTTTAATATGTTTAAACCAAAAAGAAGTGTGTTTCAGTTAATCATGGAATAAGATAGGGTTAGTATGTAGGAATGTTTTTTAGTTGGAAATGGTATTTAAAACCAAAACTAGACCATGTGTTCTCATTTTGGGATATCTTGCATAAGCCATGAAATGTGTGTTGTTATACTGTAGTTTACATCTTGACATACATTTTGCTTCAGTGTTAACATTTTCTTCTGTCTATGATAAAACTAGTCACAATAGGACTGGCAGGTCAATTAGGTTATGAAAACACCTTTTTTTTGGCCTTATCATTCTCACTGAAATTCAGACACTGTATCTGTAATGTTAAATAATGATTAACAAACAATTTATGTGATTTAATTTGTAATTTTAAAGATGAAGATTTTTATATAATTTTGGTAAGATTAATTTACTTCACAATAGATGACCAAGGATTTATTGACATGCTGCGGAAATATCCTAAATCTGGTCTAAGTCTAAAACTGTCACGTTTTTGGAAGGGACTGTTTGTCTTGGAAGGAGTTTTCTTCTGTGGAACATTTTTTGTTTATTATCAACTTAATACATCAAGAGGTAAGTTTAAAATGATTACCTTGAGCTTAGCAAATTTATTCATGAATATCGATGAGTTGCTTATGGACTAGTGTTGCTTACATCTTGACATGAAAATTTGTTGAAATCTATTATTACTATTGTTGATATTGGCAAATCTTTGAAATAACTCCAGTTGGCTATATTTGGTATTTGAATTTGCCAGACAACCTTTTTTTAGGCTATCCTTCTTTAAGCTATTAGATGGAACTTCTTTCTTGGAGCTAATGCATACATTTAATATATATATGTATATATATATATATATATAGATAGTTTGATGGTTTTTATTAAAGACAGGTCAATAACATTAAACTGTATTATGTGTTGGAACATTTCTTGAAGTTTAGGTTTGACCTGTGTGTTACCTTTGTTAATGATTTCTCTGTGAATGTATCTTGAACAAATATATATTAAATGTGGCATGAAAAAAATGACCTGTAAAGTTTATGAGAGTGCTACAAAGTGTGAGAGTATAGATTACTGTCGTAGTGTAGAATATAAAATTTTCATAAGTTTATCACAGAACTTTTTAGTTTTTTTGCAGAGCTAAATATTCAGCTGAAGTTGTTTTCTACCAGCCGCACATCCATCCTTTTTTTATATAATGCTGGAATTTCTGTAATATAGAATTAAGTCCTTTTCAGATTTCTTTAACACATTTGCATGATGGATCACATCAACTAGCATGTCACATCCTGTTACTTCTGCTTTTCATCAAACATACATCCTGCTACTTCTGAATTACATGAAACAGTACATTTTGCTACTTCTGCTGTATATAGAACACAGTATATTATGCTACTTCTAATTTACATGAAACATAGTAACATCATGCCACTTCTGCCTTATACTTCTGCTTGATATTAACACAGTAAATCTTGCTACTCCTGCTTGTAAATAGGTTGTTCTAGGCATGATAACAAATCATTTTCAGCCTATTTGGGATAGAACTTATAGAAAGTCAGGTTTATGACCTTCCAACTTTTGACCTAATTTTTGCACACAAAAAGTTTGTCCTGAAGACACGTTTACTTTATTGGAAGTTATATCAGATAATTCCAAAAGTTATATTTTAAGAAAAGTTACTTAAAAAAATTATAGTTTTTATTTTGGAATTAAAATCTTAAAAAATATATCAAAGCATTCTCTTGGAAAGGTTAATGTTTCTACTTCTTCTCTACAAAGGTACTGGAAGGTAATATTCTTTGTTTTCTTTGAAAACAAATCCACCCTAGCCTTCCCCATTCAATCCAGGGAATATCCCAATAGCACAACCTGTAAAAAGCTGGAACATACATTTGATTTGAATCAGGTGACATTATTAAGGCAGTAATTTGGCAACATTGGATAAAGGTCAGCTCATGTTTTTCAAGGGGGATAATATTCATGTGGCATAAGAATAAGTCCATCAATTTGTCTGATATTAGTACTGCTACAGTGTGGAATATGTTTTCAAGGTTTAGCTTCAGTTTCAGAATTGCTCTTGTTTAGGAAGGCTATATAAATTATCTGGTGCTCTGAAGTTCTTAAGTTTAAAAACATATAATGAACAATACACAGTAATTTGTTTTTCATAACTTATATATATGCATTTTCAGAAAAGCCATACATAATGTACCAAATAAACTCTGTATACTTATTACAGTAAATAAGTGAAATACCATTAGAAAAAATTATTGCATTTGATTTTAAAATGTTTAAAAATTTAATGTTAATTGAGGTAGTTGAACCATCTGTAATAGGAGTTTGCACTTGATTATATGCTGGAATGTATTTATGATATGGAAAATTTGAGTTACAGGAGTTGTACAAGAAATGTTAACACCTTACCTCTTTAACTCCATGTTTTGTTGTCTCTAAGAGGGGAAAATATAGTTAAATGGTAATTTAACTGTTTATTAGTTTATACCATTGCATTTGTGTGTATATGAATTAGTAAGTTATTGTTTTTCAAGAAAAATGTTCTGAAAAATTGTCAATCTAAAAAGGGCTGTTGTATTTTCAAAAAGGTATGAATGTAGGTAAACATCTTGTTGGATTCTCAGTAAAACACTTAAAATAAATTCACTCCAAAGAACAATGTCAAAACTGATGTCAATATGAATACCAAAAAAAGGAAACATCAAAGAACAACCAGTCTCTCAAAACAGCTCAAGGGATCTGCACAAGATGGATTAAAGTTGTAGAAAAAAAAGTACAAGAAACATAAAAATTGGGCTGAAAATCAAACAAAGCTTATATCATTGAATTCCTTATACCACCAGTTAAACATAGTGGAAGCTCTGTCATAGTATGGGCAGCTTTGTGTTGGAATATTTTAGGGCCTTTAACCTTACTGAAAGTAAGATGATACCATATGGTTACTTAATCCTTATTGCAGACCAAGTTTACTCTCTGATGAACACTTTATTAAATGGAGCTGGTATGTTACAGGAGGACAATACACCAATTCATACTGTTGAAGTTATTAAAGGTTGGTTCAGAAGACAAAAAAGGAAAAGTTTGACACCTAACTTGCCAGGTTTAAATGTTATCAAACACCTCTGTGATCAGTTCTTAACCAAATTTTCACAACTAAAATCACTTCAACAATTAGAAGCTCTGAACAATGAATAGTCAAAAATATCATTGTCTGATGCAACTTATTTTATCAATTTCATGTCATATTAATGTATTATCTTCTCGTGATGGACTAACCCCATATTAATCACTAGAATGTACGAATTAACAGGTATTTCTGTTGTCCATCCCACTTTATATTTCACCTGTGTTATGTACAGTATTTCTTGCAGTGTAGTTTATTTTACAAAAGTTTGGACTACCAATGACAAGCAAAGATTTAGGAATACAAATAGAAGTTTTTGTGGTTGATAAAAGAGCTGAAAAATTAGTATTACTAAATAATGCTTCCTTTTTTTTTAATAGATTTCAGGCACTGGATGTACAAGAAAAATTTCACAATTTTGGATGGTCAGTATCTCTACAATTTTGCTTTACTTGATAATACATTGTGTATATTTAATGTTTAAATTTTTCAAGGGAAATTGGAAGAAATTTGTATTGCTATAAACTGATTTCTGCAAGTGGTGAGCTACTAGCCTTGTGCACCCACCTACCTCCACGTGTTTGGATATGCCACAACTGCATTGTAGCATGCAAATTAGCATGGAACAACCTTCCACCAATAGGAGTGTGATTCACCCTCCTGGTACAGCTGACTTTCTTTATACTGTAGAACCCAATCATCACTTCTTGATCTGGTACTGTAGTATTCAGACATATAACTCACCACTACTTTGTACTTTATTTTTCACAGGTTTGAACTTGGTTTTCATACACTTTCATTCAGTTTTTTTTCTTTGCTTGCATTTACTATTTACTTTCCCAGAAAGTTGAACTGAGGATTGAGTGGCCCACTCTTTTTAGACATGAATTCTCATTTTACTATTACCACTACTTCAAATGTTACCTACACCACAGCTCAAAAACCTGCTGTTACTGTGGCTTCAGGGATGACCTTATCTGCAGAAGAGGTTTTTTCTCTTGTCTGTCGTGAATTTGAGTTTTTCATGTGACCTAAGAGTTTTCCTGAGCCTCGACCAGTTCTCTTATTCCCAGGGAAGGCTGGTCAAGATGAGGAAGATTTTGATAGCCTATTCCTGCCTCCTTCTTTTGCCGTGCAATCTCGATCTATGCCTTTAGATGTACCCCGGCCTTTGCCTGCATTCCTGGACATGGTGACACAGGTTTCATAAATTTTATCATTATCCCCTATGTCTTTTGATCCCCCTTCCCTTTTGTATAATAACCCTTCCTCTGATTATTTGGTTCTATCTCCTTCTCCCAATATCAGGATACATGCTAATCATTTTGGGATCAGTTGTATTTGTGGGTCAGCATGCCTTGTCCCCTCATACTTTCAAGTGTCTTGCTTTGGCATATCATCCCTCTGAAGCTCCATTACTTAATTCTCATCATTGGGAATCATTAATTCTGGTTTTGGATTCAGACCCCAATACATCCATTAGTTTTTCCCAAGCCTACTTCTTCTGCCTTTGTTTGACCATCTCCACCCTCCTTCATTACCTCTTCTCCATGCATCTCTTCTTTGAAGCTATCCATTGTTCCCTTGAAGGATTTTTGATGGAAACTTTCCCTCCTTTTCTCCATGTTGGTGAGCTTGTCTTCCTCTGCCCTTTCACTTCATATCTGGTTCCTTTGTTGTTGGAATCTTTTAGGTTGAGACACTTTTAACTCGTACATCTATCTCCATTAATTTATGTGATTTGTATATAGGCCCTTTTCTGAGTCAGTCTGTTTGGTTGATCTCCCAGATACATTGGAGTCTCATACCGAGGCTGCTCAACAGCATACTTTCCTATCCTCCCTCATCACTCATCTGTTGCAGCCTTCTCCCACTCCTGCTTCTGTCTTCATTCTCTCCTTCCTCTCCCATGCTTGTGCCTTCATCATGGGTTTAGGCGATGAGTCGATGTATTGATCACTTCTGACATTTCATACTGCCAGCAGTACCAGTGACTATCCAGTGGGTACAAATCCTTTTGAGGCCAGATTGTCCAGGTTTGCCCCTTCAGCTCCAGTCCTTGGGGTTTCAGATCTTGTCAGAAGGACTCTCTCTTTATTTTCTCACTCCTCCTCCATTAGCCCTCTCTCTCTTGTTCCCTTTCCTCTTTCTCTGGATCCCATTTCTAGCCACTGTTTTTCCAAGGTGGTTCAGGATCTTCTTTTCAAGGGCACTGTCAGACCTGTCACTCACCCTACTTTGGGATTCGATTCCCAGTTGTTCATCATCTCCAAGAAGACCTTAGACATTTCCAGTTTGAACTGTTACATAAATCTTCCGGGTTTCAATATGGAGTCTTTTGTGTCTCTTTGATGGGCTTTTACTCCAGATCTTTGGATGATAAAGGTAGATGTATCAGATGCATACCTTCACATCCCCATTTCTCCGGCACACCGTAGTTACCTTCAGTTTGACCATCAGAGTCATTCTGTGTCCTTCCATGCAGTGTGGCCTCAGCTCCCTATGTTTTTTTATTGAGTAGTTGTTTGTTGAGCTTTTTCCAGTTTTGTGGGGCAAGTCAGTCCTGATCCATTCCGACAATTTGACTGTTGTCTCACACATCATTCGACAAGGAAGCACCCATTCACGTTCCCTTTGTTTTCAAACATTAGCTCTCCTTTTCTGGGCTCATACACAACATGTTCACCTCTTGGCTTGTCATGTTCTGGGTGCTCTCAATCTTGTTTGTATCGTTTATCTTGTCTGGAAAAGATTCTCCTCACGGAGTGGTCGTTTGGTTCTCAGGTCTTCTGGTGGCCGTGTTCACAGTGAGGTAATCCTCTGCTGGATGCATTTTCCACCAATCTCAATACCAAACTTCCTCTGTTCAGGTCCCTGATTCCACATCCTTTAGCTTTGGTGGTCCATGCCTTCAGTTGAGATTGAAAAAACCTTTATCTTTATGCCTACCCACCTATCTGTCTCCTTCTCAGGGTTTTGTCCATTATCTAAACCATTCTGTGTCAGGTCCTTCTCATTGCTCCATTTTGACCTGCCCAACCATGGTTCCTGAAACTTCATCTGCTTCAGCCATCACCTCCTTTATCTCTTCCTCTATCCACATCCTTCCTCTGCAGTGTGGTTTGGACCTTTCACACGTGTAGTGTCCCTTATTTCCAGTTTGGTCTGCCTTTCTTCTTTGTTGATTTATTAGATAAAATGGTGAATATTTTGCCATTTATCTCTACAACAAGGTTTCCTTTTCTACCATCCCAGTAACCCTTATCTCTCTTGCTGTTTGACAATGGTCTTCACTGTTGTAGGCTATAGAGTGGCCTTGTCCTCTTCCTGCTTCTGCTAGGTGTTTTCCTCTCTCGTTTTCTGCTTCATGTTTTGTTCCTTTTATCTCCTCCATGACCCTCGCCCCACACCCTTAAAGGATTAAAAAGTTAATGTTGTTCTGCATGCCCTTACTTTTCCACCAATCAAACCCTTGTCTTCCTGTTCTATATACCATCTTTCCTTGAAGATCTATTTCCCCTTTTGACCTGTGGTCATCATTGGTCGACTTATTCACCCTCAGTGTATCTTATATCCTATACCATAGTACTTATGTTCTCATTTATCCCAATCACTCCTTCCTCTCCAAGACTCCTGGAGCTTGTGAGGATAGTTTTGCTTTCACACTGATTTCCCTACCTTCCATTTCCCATGTATATTCCATTGTCACATATTATGTACGTCATTTGGTTGTCTCCTTATCAGCCAAATACTCTCTGCCTCCTGTTGCAGTCTTGCTTTCCTCAGTTTGACTATGAGTGGGTAAGTTTTCCTTTTCATTTCCATTTATCTTACAGTGACCCTGTGCTTCAGTTTGGATCCCATTCTGTGGGGAGTGGTGCCCGTTAAGGTATACCTGGTGGTCCTCCATCCTACCTACTCCTGGATATTGGTTCCCAAGGGTCTTGTTCTGGATGTGAGCTGGACCAACCATCAAATATGCACCATATGAACTTTCAGGTCTATAATGCCAACTTTGGAGATGGGGTGTTCTGCAAGACTGATAGTAGGTTCATCCTCACAGTATACTGCATCATAAGTATGCTCATCCCAGACCATACAGACACATGGACTATCATGAGTAATGCAGGAAGGGGATAGCTGTCCTTCCCTCTGTTCCTGTTTGAATAATTCAGGTTTGGCCTGCTTTTCAAAATAGGGTTCCCTGGTCACCCATTGCACTTTCTCCAGTGATGTGTTCCTCTTGACTCCCCACTGCACTATTCCCTTCTTCTTGTAGTGGTGTAAGAGAGTTCTTACCACCTACCAGCTCCTAGTCCCTGGGGTTGTGGACCATGTAGACTTCTTCAGTTGAGAGTAGGATGGTTGTGTTCTGCTAGTGTAGTTGTTGTGTACTCTCCTCCTACCATGGACCTAATGTACAATTCCAGATGTCATCTGGTTATGGACTGGATGAATCCACCACATGCAGTTCACTCCTACACCTGGGAACTCTCCTTCCCACCTCCATCTGAATGTCAGTTCCTGGATGTGCTGGTGTTGGTTGGAGCTGAACTGGCCAACATAAGTCCTCACACGTGTGGTTGAGCTGGGAACCTCCTCTTACCGTGGATTAGATGATACATTCCCAAGGCCACCTGGTTTTGGACTGGAGATTACCCTTCATGCTCTATTACACCATCCTACCATCACCCGATTGTCAGGCTCAAGGGTGGCTGATGTTGGTTGTGTACTATGTCTGCACACATGCTTGCTGGCTTGAATTTTTGAAATGAAAGTTATTTTTCCCTTCTGATTCTTGGGCCTGAGGTCAAGATGGTTAAGACCCTTCTCTTACCATGGCCTGAATAATCCATTCCTGGTGCTGCCAGGTTTTTGACTGGAGTTGACATGTCCTAGTCACTCTACACCAGTGGTCGGCAACCTATGACCCGTGGCAATAATTTGGCTGACCCGCCAAAAGTTGGCTTCACCATTGCAACCCGTAAGGGCACAATCATTGTTCAGTTCAAATTTCTCGGCTATGTGAGAAGAACAATGATATTAAAGGAAAGATGGGAAAGAGTCACGGCTACAGAGAATTTTAAGATCAATTTCAGGGAAAAATATCAAACTGCTCAAACTATTAATTTTCTTTTATGTAAATAAACATACACATTTAAAATACATGTACCGGTATTAATAATTATGTGATTATCACTGACCCAACACAATGCTAAATTAAAAAAAATAATAATAATTGACCCGCAATCAAAAAAAGGTTGCCGACCACTGCTCTACACTATTTGTGCATCCACTTTCTTGAATGTGCTTCTTTCTGCCCTTTTTGCAACACTTTTCTTCATTACGGGTGAAGAGTATACCTGGTACGGATGTGGTGCAGCCTCCCACAGGTGTGGCCCCATCCATTGACGTTTCACACTCCATGGGCTCTCTTTGGGCACTT